ATTAATTAAGTGGATCCCCCCCCCCCCAACAGAATGGCATATTTTTCTCTGGGTTTGTTTATAGTAATTTTTTTAAATAAACACTTCAAAATAGTGACTTTAAATTGTTTTTGATTAACAATTTAATGATTAGAATTTAGTTTGTGTTATTACACTATAGGAGGGAACTTCAAAAAGTTCATTGAAAGATTCATAGTATCTTTTAATTCTCTTTTTTCATGAATTTTTTGAAGTACTCTTGTATTCAATAAGCTGCTTTTTTACACTGCCTTCAATGTGGTAAATAGATGAGAACATGGATTAAACTAAGGACTGAAATGATAATTTTGGCATTTTAAACTGATGCCTTCATGGATCCTCAAAAGCCACTCTGGTAAATACCAAGACTGTCATTTTTCTGTGAGATAGAGTTATCTCATTAACTCAAAACCATATGTTATAGATTCCACACAGAGGATCAAAGAGAAGGTTAGTTGGATCAGACTCCCCTTCACATGGCGGAGCAGGGAGCCCAGAAGCTAGAAAAGAATCACTCAATGGGATTCTTCCCAAATCATCTAAAAAGTAAACAAAATACATCAAGGAAAAAATGGCAGTGTATGTTGTGTTACTTTTTCAATAAAATTTATTTATTTTAATGGAACATTGATATTGGCAACTTGAATATCTATGTTAATATGGAGCTAAATATTTCATGTTTCTTTAAATACATTTTCCATTAAAAATCATTATTATTTCTAGATATATGTTATTGTAGGAAAGAGGGCTTGAACACAGTACCGTGAGTTCCATTTTTTCACATGTATTCAGTGTGCCATTAACCAGTGAGCATGCTGTTTATTTTGTCATATTCTCATTCTCTCTAGCTTTCTCATTCATGGCTCATTCACTGTAGACAGATCCTGGTTTTTCCAAGTGGCCAGTTCCAGGCTCATAGAGTGAGAGGGGGGGTCCCTAAGAAGTGCCATTTTTATATACCATTTATATGAGCCCCAAGAAGCCTGCTCACTTGTTTTCTTTAAAATCTGTCAATTTTCCACCCTCAGGAGTTAGGATGTTGGGTGTTGGGGGAGGGTTGTAAGAGGCGTGAAAGGAGAAATTCTGATTCTGGACATACTCATGCCTGCGTTAGCCAGTTCTCTTACTCTAGTAAACCATCCATTTCTTCCTTCCTGGCCCATTAAGAGTTCAGTTGTTAGCTTCCTATTACCAAGTCATTGTGCCAAATTGCTGTACTTTCATTGGATCAACAAACATTTACTTTGCATTTTTTAGAAAGATAATTAATATTACAGGTAGGTATAATTGTAATTAATAATTGTTGTTAAATGGTTCTGCTATGGATTGGCCCAAGTACCTTAAATAAGAGATTTGATAGAAAATCAAGTTTAATTATCTTTGTTCAGTTTTTTTGTAAGCTCAGAAAAACACTGTTTTAGAACATTCTTTTCTATTTAGACATTGGATTTGAAATTATACTAGTTAGACATTGACTAACATCATTTTTCCGTTTCCTCTTTAGCTCTTATCTGGTCTTCGTTTCAGTGTGCACCAGCAATCAGAGATGGATACTTCTGTGAAATTTGATTTACAAATCCAAAGGTATGAAAATGTGTCTTAGCTTATAAAAACTATTGAGGAAATATTATTTATTATAAATATATTATGTAATATACTATAAATATTATGGAATAGCACAGATTTAAATTCTAGTACTTGATTATAACATTTTTAAAATCAATATTTACAGTATAAGAATAATTTTATCTTCAGTTTTTAGTTTGTGAAGCCAAACTAAAAATAGAGAAACAAGACTTGATCATCATTTTGAAATTAAATGCTAGTGAAAATAATTATTTTGATTTATAAATTTTTTATTTTTCGTTGGTTTTAATTTGTTTTTTTTTTTTACCTTCACTGGGTTTGCTTCTGTATGATTTTACTGATTATTATGGTCAATTTAGTCCTAAATATATATTTTTTTCTTTTTCAGCTCTAATCTTTTTGACAAAGTAAGCCCAGTTGTATCTTACAAAGTTGACCTTGCTGTTTTAGCTGCTGTTGAGATAAGAGGGTCAGTATGATTGCTAAGTTGAGTATCTCGTTCTCATGATGATTTGTAAAAGTAACTGCTAGGTATTAGCTTCTTTTGGACAGTAGACATTCCACATTTATTAGTCATTTTATTGGGTAGTAGCTTCTGTAGAATTAAAGTCCTATTTGTGTTCCAAAGCCCCAAATATTTATTTGGTGATCCTCTAAAAAGAAACAAGACATGACAACAACAGGCACAAAATAAGTTTATTGAGCTTTTACACAAGTTACCTTATCAATTCACCTGTTACATGTAGATTTAATAAGAGCAGTTTTTGTGCATGTATGTGTTCACTAGTTTTTTCTTTAAAAATTTTTTTTACTGGATCTAATTTTATTCGTTTGCAGACAGGGTACTTTTGAAAATGAACTGACTATATCATTTTGATATTCATGGTAGGTTTTCTTTGGTCATTGTTTAGAGTCTCAAGTCCTGATCATATCTTTCTTCCAATTCCAAATTGGGAGCACAAGGAGAACCCTGAGACTGAAGAAGATGTTGGGCCAGTTGTTCAGCACATCTATGAGGTTTGCAGCTGTTGGATTTAACTGAAACATAGCGGGAGAGCCAACAAAGGGAGGAACAGCTAAGTTACTTTTTAAAAACAATTCTGTGTAATTTTTATGTAAACTGCACAGCTTAAGTATGTACCACAGATTTTTTTGAAATTTGTTCCCTATTTATAAGTTTATGTTTTATTAGACAAATAGCTTTAAGTGTTTAAAGAAACCAGTTAATATAATTTTTTGTTTAAAACCAATTAGTTCTACTTGAATAAAAGCAATAGGTTAGTGGGTATTTTTTCATGGGCATTTTGTAGTTCTGATTAAAAATTTAAAAATGCCTGTAGCAGATAATCAAAATTTTATGGAGGAAGAAAATTTTCTTCATCATCATTCATCGATAACTTTTTAATATTTTCCACTCTTGTTTATATTTTCATTCTAACACATATAACTCTACTTTAGATACAAATGTCGAGTTTGCTCTCTTTTGCATAATAATGGTCACATTGTGATATTACAGTCTAACTTTGGAAACTCTGCTGTTATTCAAATCCTGTCGCTAATATGATCTAAAGTTGATGTAGGGGAAGAATTATAGAATAGATTTTTGCCCAATGTGTTTGCATTTTCTTTTCTTCATTAGCTGAGAAACAATGGTCCAAGTTCATTCAGCAAGGCGATGCTGAATCTTCAGTGGCCTTACAAATATAACAATGACACTTTGTTGTACATCCTTCACTATGATATTGATGGGCCAATGAACTGTACTTCAGATATGGAGATCAACCCTTTGAGAATTAAGGTAATGTGCTTAATAGCAGCTCTTCATTATGGTGATATTTTATTGCTTTTTTTCCTAAACCTGTAAAAAAAAAAATGCATGAAAGAAACAACTATTTTAGTACACAAACCTATTCTGCAAAAATATTTTAATTTGTAACTGGTACTGTAAGGGTTAGATTACCTGTGTAATGGGTAAGAAATAATTTTGTAAAGTCCTAGTGAACCATATATTTATGGAGTGTTTAGTGAGCCTCAGAAGATACTCTCATGTGACTCAATTTAAGAGTCACTTGGCTACTTTGCATCATGGTTTATCCAGTATAAAATATAGTGTTATGGCTGTTTTACTGTTGAAATTTCTCTTTGGGATAAGACATACTGTTTTTCTTATGACTCTCTTGACTTACATGACCTAGAAAAATGTCATTTTATGGAGTTATATGTACTTTTGAATACAGTCATCTCTATCCTAGCACATACATTTGCGTAAGAAGCGTTTTACACAATATGGTTTAAGGAAAGTTAAGAAAATGAAATACAAAACATGTTCATAGTTGACTGTCTTACAGATGGACTGTGGAATTTTAGGCTGTTTCTGTGTGTTTCATCAGTGTCCCCGCCAGCTATGCAAGGGGAGAAAGTAATGGATAGAGAATGCTAACTTTTTTGTGTGCATATTAAGGACTCTAATCTTTATTTTCTATTTTTATTGTTTACCATATATTAAATGGCGAATTTTCTGTTATACCAAATATTCACTCACTATTTTTTAATCATATATAAGAATTTATGTCAAAATGTCAATACAAAATGTTTTTCCATTTTTATGTACCATCATTTTTTAATGCAATTCTAGATCTCATCCTTGGAGACAACTGAAAAAAATGACACAGTTGTTGGGCAAGGTGACTGGAACCATCTCATCACTAAGCGGGATCTCACCCTCAGAGAAGGAGATGTTCACACTTTGGTAAGTGCCATTTCAAGTACAGGCACTATAAACATTTTAAAGTCTGTGATTACAGGACTGATGCCAAAGAATACTTTAGAAATAACAGCTGTGCTTGAAACAACTATATATATTTTTATACCATTCTGTCCTCTTTAATTTTTTCTAATCTAATTAATGCCAGATTTTGTTCAAAAGATCTATTTTTGTAGATGGCTAATAAAAATATATAATGTTCCCACTTATTTTTCTGACTGTGCTCTTTTAACTGACCTATTTCTTGGCCTCAGCCTAATCTTTGAAGCTTTAGTGCAATGCTACAGGAAGAACCCTGAAGGCCTCAATAAAAATATATTAAAAGAATAAAGGCTGGCCAGCTAGCTCAGTTGGTTAGAGCATAGTCTTATAACTCCAAGGTCATGGGTTCAGATACCTGTCAGCAGCCCTCCCCTACCCCCCAAAAAAATATATATAGGAAGAATAATAAGCATTATGATTAACTTTTCTTGAGTCAGCCTGTGTAAGGACTATAGTGTTTTAAAGAGGCTTATTGTCTTCTAAGTTTTTGAAAATTAACAGATCTGCAAATCATCACCTTGTAGAGAACCTGG